GAAATTGGTTAAAGTAAAAATCTTGAGATCGTGCATTTTTCCTGTGACAAAAGGGTTGCTAGTCCAAGACTCTCACCCAGTCACTGTGGAAAAAGATTGAAGCTTTTGAACTGAAATGTTATGGAACAATTCTTAGAATACCATGGATCAGGAAGAGGAAAAACATAGACATTCTAAACGAGTTAAACATCAAGGAGAACTGGCTCATAAACAGCATCCTGTCCCGAAAGTTAAAGTATTCTGGCCACATCAAGCGTCATGGAGGCTTATAAAAGACAGGGATGGAAGGTGCAGTTTCTGGAAGGCGAGGCAGGGGTAGACCACCGCGAAGATGGATACAAGCCATTGAAGAAGCATTGGCATTGAAAGCATATAGGGCCGGAGAGCTGGCTGGAGAAAGAGATTCTTTCAGGGGTGCGGTGAAAAGAGCGACGTTCTGTAAAGGACTTGCTGATTGATGGTGATTGCATGGCACACTTTTATTCTAACGTCTGAACAAGCACTTGCATGATCGTGTTTCACATAGGGCTAAAATCAGAAACAGAGTGGAGACAAAGAAGAAAATGATTCCTGACAGGTTATGAGGTCAGTGTTTTAGAGAAAAGTGGGAAATACACATGAGGGCAACAACTGTCCTCAAATCCCAGGCATCTCTTTCTTCTTCTTCTCTTCTTCGCCTTCACCGGCTATAAACTCCGGCGGAAAGTTATGGCTGTGCAACCAGCTCCAGACTTTAGACTTTTACCAAAACTTCAGTTTTGCGTGCATATTTGTTTTACATATCTGATTTATTTGTATGCAGATTGTCAGTTCCTTGCCTCTCTTGCAGATGCACTCAAATTCTAAAGAAAACCCCCAATTTGTCGAGTATGTAACGACATGTATGTCGGGGAAGGCAATGGGTCCGTTCTTGTTCTCCCCACAATGGGGCTCCAGACCACACATAGGAATCTCAGGCATCTGTTGTGGAAAATTTCACCTATTCTTGTTAGTCACACTCGTAATCGCCAACGGTCGTGGTTCCCATGCCTCCGTATGCCACAGTGGTAACACCACAGTCTGAAAAGATGGACAGACGCCAGCTTCTATGTTATGTAGATATACTGCCAGGATATGTAGCAGTGCGAGGCAACGAACGAGCAGACTGACTGCACGTAAGCACAGGATCTAGCATCACACCTTATACAGAAATGTAAACAGAAGTAGAGGATCAATCCTTTTCACGCTCTGGTTTGGTCTTGCACAACTCTCCCATTTGGGACTCGTGTAGGATTTTTTTTTTTAATTATTACTAGCAATTTAGCTGTTAACAAAGAGTTTAGTCAAAACGTTCAGTTATGTATATTAGTGTGTGTGTGTGTGTGTGTGTGTGTGTGTGTGTGTGTGTGTGTGCGTGCGTGCGTGCGTGCGTTCTTTGTCCTCCACCTCCTTCCTCTCTGCCCCCCCCCTTGGCCCCGCCCACCATGCTGAGGTAGACAGACATAGTATGTTGTTAGAGAAATCACTTCTTAATATCAGTTCTGCAAAAATCACCCTAATTAACCTCTAATCATATCAGTTAGAGACACCCGAGTTCGGTATCATTTCTTCCATACGCCGGTAAAGTAAACAGAGATTTGACAGTTATGTATACTGTAGTACAATCCGTATGAGAGCCACATGTCGTAAGTAAACCATCAACATAAACGTTACTTTTATGATGTTAATAGAAATAGTCCTTCTTGTTTTCCCCCACCTATTTTATGTTTTCACCCACTTCTACAGCTTGGCGTATTGTACAATCTGAATGGCAGATACAGACAGGAAGTAAACCACTAATATAAACGTTACTTTTTTGACGTTAATACAATTAGTCCTTCGTGTTTTCCCCCAGTTCAACAACTTGTCGTACTTTAGTACAATCTGTATGGGAGCCATAGACAGGAAGTAAACCACCAACATAAACGTTACTTTTTTGACGTTAATACAATTAGTCCTTCGTGTTTTCCCCCAGTTCAACAACTTGTCGTACTTTAGTACAATCTGTATGGGAGCCATAGACAGGAAGTAAACCACCAACATAAACGTTACTTTTGTGACGTAAACAGAAACAGTTCTTCATGTTTTCCGCCAATAAAACAGCCTGGCGTTCTGTAGTAGTTTGCTAGTAAAAGCTATATGGGAGCCATAGACAGAAAGTAAGCCACTAACATAAACGTTACTTATATGACGTAAATAGAACATACCTTTATGCCCCCCCCCCCCCCACCCCCTGGTATACAACAGCTTGGCGTTCTGTAGTACAATCCGTATGTTCATAGACAGAAAGTAAACGACCAGCATAAACGTTACTTTTTTTTTTTTTTTTGACGTAAATATAAACAGTCCTTCGTGCCCCCCCCCCCCCCACCCCCAATTCATGAGCTTGGCGTTCTATAGTACAATCTGTATGGCGGCCACATACAGGAAGTTAACCACCAACATAAACGTTATCTTTATGACGTTAATAAGGAAAGTCCTTTATTCGCCTCCCCAAAATAATAGTTATGCGAACTGTAGTACAGTCGGCATGGGGTCCACAGACCGGAGGTAGACTTCCGACATAAACATAGATTTTACAACACTCAAGCAAAACAGAATATACGATACTTTAGGAAGGATAGACCGAGGGAGATGGGGTGAGGGGGGGGGGGGCGGGGAAGGGACAGACTGCACCAGGCAGCGTCACCTTAAACAAAATTGTTCTGTTATAAATATTTCGATTTCCATGACATAACGCTCCGGGGATTCGCAAATGTCAGACAAAGAACAGAAACCTGCATAGATTACCCTTCCCCTATACCTTTCTCTCTCTCTCTCTGTCTCTCTCTCCTCTCTCTCTCTCTCTCTCTCTCTCTCTCTCTCTCTCTCTCTCTCTCTCTCTCTCTTTCTTAATTTATATTTCACTCTCTCTCTCTCTTTCTGTCTCCACCTCTGTCTATAAAACGTTTTTTTTTTTTTACATTTCGCCTTTCTAAATCCCCTTGTGTAGCTTTCTTCTTCCCGTGATAACTCCCTTTTACCCCTACCCTTCTCCTTCTTCGTTTACTATATTTACTTTACTTAGTTTTGGGAGTCGTCGTGGCGCAGCGGCTAGACGCTCGCCTGCGGATCGGAAGGTCGTGGGTTAGCTCCCTGGCGGAGCCGGACTTTTTCCAAAAATGACCTTGGCTTCCAGATCGACCCAGACTTGAGTGGCTACCAGGTGCAGTCCTGGAAAGTAAAGGCGGCGTGATGCCGACCACATTACCCATCTTGTGCCGTTGGTCTATAAAATATAGGTCCAGCCCTATATACCCAATACGCCTGAAAGGCGTGAAAAAGGGTCCCTTTACTTTACTTAGTTTTGTTTCCGTTAGAAACGTTCATATAATTACGTTCATATAATTACAACACATTCTAGAATGACTGACTGACTTTCCACCCCACCAGGACATCACACAAGCGATAAACACCCGATGACACAATGTGCCACCATGTGGGTGAGGATCGCCGTGGAGAGGTCCCAGAAACCGCGTTCAGCCATAAGGCCATATTTATGGCCGACCAGGCTATATTGCGGCCCCTGGCAAAAGCCAGAGTAGGGCTTCAAATAACGAAAAATTATATTCTAAAAAAAGGACAAGAACTTATATTTTTTTAAACACATTCTAGCAATTATAACTATAATGAGATGTTGATGATATGCATTGGTTGTATATACTTAAAAAAAGGTAAAGGACCATTTTCCACGCCTCTAGGATATAGGGCTAGACCTATATTTTATAGACCAATCGGCACAAGATGGGTGATGTAGTCAGCATCACGCCGGCCGCCTTTACTTCCCGGGACTGCACTCGGTACCCACTCAAGGCTGGGTCGACCTGGAAGCCAAGGTCGTATCTGAAAAAAGTCCGGCTCCTCCAGGGAGCTAACCCACAACCTTCTGATCAGCGGCGAGCGTCTAGCCGCTCCGCCACGGCGACTCTCTATTATATACTAACTGACTAATTAATTGAATAATGTGTGTAAGGAATGAACCCAAAAGGAGATTTCCTAACCTTCTGAAAATGAAGTTAGTTCGTTCCTAATCCCTCTTCCCACCTCTCTCCCTCTCCTGTTATGTCTCTCTATTTCACTATCTCCCCTTTCTTCCATTTTCCTCCCTTTCAGTCTACTATCCTCACTCTCCCTCTCTATCACAATATGTTTCTCTTAGTTATCTGCCTTCCTTCTCACCATTCCGTCTTCTTTTTATATATATATATCTCTCTCTATCTCTATCTCTCTCTTTCTCTCTCTCTCTCTCCTCTCTCTCGACAGCGTCCCCAGTTTCAAAACCTTCCATTTCAAAACACGAACAAAGTTCCCTCCTATACGACTCAACTGCTTGTATATCCCAGATTCACCTCTTACAAACACGTATAATCTACAAATATATCCCTCGCTCATCACAGCAAGGAAATTACATTTTCAAAATTCATCATTGGAACATCCCGACGCCGAATGATACGCCAAATCAATATATCTAAAGGGTTAAAAAAAAAAAAACCCACCTAGGCACACAAACAAAAATAAGTGGTGGATTCAATGATACGCAGCGATATCAAATAACGCTCCCACCTTGCCAAACTCCCATCTCCCTGGTGCCGCACTCGCCCGACCTCCGTGGCGGACAGCTGACATGTTATCTGGGCACGTCTACCGATACAGCCATGCGTAAGCTAAGACCGGTGTTCTTCCGGAGCCCTGGGGACCCCAATATACACGGGCCCCCCAGCCAGGCGATGCGCTGACGCTCCACGGAGACGCTGGCTACAAGTTCTTCCCATAATGCGATGGGTGCGTTTAGAGGACAAGGCAAATAAAAAGGATACTGAGGTTACGGACAAGACACGAGTCTGGTTTTCTGCCAGAAAAAGTCTACGATCATATACATCGATTACAACGATACGTAATCTTATATGTTTGATAGACAAGCTCAGATAACCAGACTAGCAGACTGACATATAGTTTCGAAAGACTTGCTCAGACTCGCAAACCGAAAGGCAAAAAGAGTTTCAAACTGACCCGCGACCTTTAGAATGCGCGTCGAATTGCTTAACCATGTAGCCAAGCCGACAAGCTTTCAGTTTATTTAAAATATGTTGTAACTGGTCTGATATATATTCTAGAACTTGCATTATGAGTATATACCGGCATAGCGATGCCCACTCCCTGCCATAAGTAGGAGAAGACATTTGACCTATAGGAGCTACCCAACTTTTCTTTTCTTCGAGTTTACCAGCTGCGAACTCCAGCGAAAAGTTCTCGTTGTTTGTCCACTTCTGAATTTCAAAAATGTTCCAGAAATTGAGCGTTGCTAGCACATGTCATCAACCTATCTGATTTATTTGCACTGCTGTTTCCTTGCCTTCCATACAAATTTTACTCTGACTTCGACAGATAACATATCATTTGTCGACTTTTACGACACGTGTTGACTTCCCGGTTACAGCCTTTTAAAATTATCTGTAAACCGAAGATGGTGGGAGGGATTCTGACATCGCCCACAAAATACTGATGGGTTATTATAATGAAGACAGGACGCATCAGGTGCCAAGTCCGGCTAGAGACGACAAAATGAGATCTTGACTAATGTTACACACCCTGTCTAGACCAGCACTTTCCAAACTATTCGGTCCTAAAGGTCCTAGGGCCACGAACATTATCTCTGTGATGCAAGTGATTATACAATCCAGCAATGTCTGAGCATTTAGCCTCAAACGGTTGACATTCTTTTCACCTTATCTAAAAACCCTTAGAGTGCCAGCTCAAAGCGGTCTAACTTAATAAAACTGTGTGTGCGCGCGCGCGCCTACGTCTGTACGCGTGTAAGTGTACGCGTGCATGTGTGTTTGGGTGTGTGTGTGTGTGTGCGCGCGAGTGCGTACGTGTGTGAGAAATGCTACGTCAATAGCACCACCACAATTTTCGCCTCCCAGGTGCTCACGTCTTGTAAAAGTGCGCAAAAATTATTAGTATATACTAAATTTGTCAATGAATATGATCATATACCTGAAATAATATGAAAAGTACAGAATATTTTTTTTTAAAGGAGAATGACTACCTCGTGAAAATTAGATGGGGGAGGGGTTTGCCAAATTATTACAAGTACAAATGCACTTATTTTCAAGATTGCAAACTCGCCTTCTTTTTCTAGCCAAGCTTACAGACCGCCGCATTACACAATCCGATAACATACTACAGTAAAATTAACGTAAACAAAAAGAACACTCCGTTAACATGAACATAATTTTGGTTCCAGCAGGCATATCTTTTTCAGTCCCCGGTTAGCATGATGTTTTTTTTTTTTTGTTTTTTTTTAAATAACACAAAGTCTTGATTGTTTGGTCGCTTGGAAAGCCTGTTAGCAAGGTTATACTACGTCCACGTGAGACAATCCTAGCCCTTACCGGGGATTGAACCCGGAACCTACAACACTCGGGCGGAGACCATGCCCCGAGACCACAGCCCCTTATTGTTTTTAATCGGGTTTATCTTAAGGTATTTTTTTTTAAAGTCTGTTTTATATTTGCTAATTTTTTTCAAGTCCCAAACATTTATTAGTTTAACTCATTCTTTACGAATTAATTGTCATTTTAATCAGTTCGAAACCTTGTTTTCCCTCCATTGAGTTTAAATAATGCGGTCACAAACAATACATTGCACCATGTAATGCCTGAAATATTTCTCTGCGTTTCGTCAGTTGCGTTACCACAGAGTTACATCAGCATATAATAAAGTAGAAACATTGAATAAATGCAGCAGCAAAGGTAATAGTTTGGGTACTAAACAACTCGCCACGCGTTGGCTGATTTAACTCCTTGCGTGACCAGTCTTCTCAACTCATTCAACTGTCAACATCATTCATCAGTCAGCAGGTCCTTTACAGAACGTCGCTTTGGTCAGAGCACGACCCAAGGTCTCTCTTTCTCTAATCAATTCTTCAGCCCTACGTGTATCCACAGCCCATTCATCTTCAATGTCTTCTTTCCACTTTCACAGAGGTTTGCCTCTGCCTCATTTTCCGGAAACTACGCTCTCTCTCTCTCTCTCTCTCTCTCTCTCTCTCTCTCTCTCTCTCTCTCTCTCTCTTTCTTTCTCTTTCTTTTTTTCTTTCTCTGTCCTTCTCTCTCTTTCTTTCGCTCTCGCTCTCTCTTTTTCTCTCTCTCTCTCTCTTGCTCTCTCTCTCTCTCTCTCTCTCTCTATATATATATATATATATATATATATATATATATATATATATATATATATATATATATATATATTTCTCCTCTCTCTTTCTCTCTCTTTTTTCTCTCCTCTTTTTCTCTCTCTCTCTCTTTCTCTCTCTGTCTGTCTGTCTCTCTCTCTCTCTCTCTCTCTCTCTCTCTCTCTCTCTCCCTCTCTCTCTCTTTCACTTACAGACACACACATCCACCAGCCACAAGAACGTTTAACGTGGCCACAATGCCTGAGCTTTGCAAGCAGGATGCTGTTTACGAGCCAGTTCAGTTGATACATTTACAAACGCCTTTCGTGCTGGTTTATTCGCTCCATCAGCACATTCACAAACGCCTTTCGTGCTGGTTTCTTCGCTCCATCAGCACATTCACAAACGCCTTTCGTGCTGGTTTCTTCGCTCCATCAGCACATTCACAAACGCCTTTCGTGCTGGTTTCTTCGCTCCATCAGCACATTCACAATCGCCTTTCGTGCTGGTTTCTTCGCTCCATCAGCACATTCACAAACGCCTTTCGTGCTGGTTTCTTCGCTCCATCAGCACATTCACAAACGCCTTTCGTGCTGGTTTCTTCGCTCCATCAGCACATTCACCACGGCTATTACTCTGCCTCCGTTAAATGCGATATTTATTAAATTATTTAAAAATGTATATCTAAATTATTTATTAACATGCGAAAGCTGAGACTGGGCGAAATTTTGACGATTACACACACTGAACAGGTAAATGCTGAAACTGACCCAAGCTTTAACGATTAAAATCTCCAGAGTTTACAGCCAGTGAAGGCAAAGGTGGGGGGGGGGGGGGAAGAGTCAATCAACAGCCCCCACCCCCACCCCTTTCCCCCCCCCCCCCCACTTTCCTTTGTAAGCAGAAGGAATCTATAGTAACTCTAATGTTACCCTGGTAGGTCATGTGACTGCAGTGAACTTTCAGCAACTAGATGATAACACGATGGATCTAGAGAAACTATTACCATTGCTGCTGCATTTATTCAATGTTTCTACTTTATTATATGCTGATGTAACTCTGTAGTAACGCAACTGACGAAACGCAGAGAAATATTCCAGGCATTACATGGTGCAATGTATTGTTTGTGACCGCGTTATTTAAACTCAATGCAGGGAAAACAAGGTTTCGAACTGATTAAAATGACAATTAATTCGTAAAGAATGAGTTAAACTAATAAATGTTTGGGACTTGAAAAAAATTAGCAAATATAAAACAGACTTTAAAAAAAATACCTTAAGATAAACCCGATTAAAAACAATAGGGGCTGTAGTCTCGGGGCATGATCTCCGCCCGAGTGTTGTAGGTTCCAGGTTCAATCCCCGGTAAGGGCTAGGATTGTCTCACGTGGACTTAGACTTCCCCCTGGTCTCTGGGTAGTGAGATAGGACGCCCGTGTGCATTGTTGTGCATGTAAAAAATATCCGTTGGCAGTTGAAAATCGAAAAGAGTAGCCTAACGGCGTTGTCCGGGCAAAATTTGGAGTTAAAAATCTACCCAAAGTATTTCAGGATCCTCGCCGGTGCTTCAGGACCTGTACACTGTGCTGAGATTCTTCGGACTCAGACTTTAGTTAGAAGAAGAACAGAGCACTTATGGGTTACTACCCGTGTGCCATGATGTTGATTCGTTGTTCAAAACCTCGAACGTCAACAACAATCAGACAAACAAATACAGTAGTTAACCGGAAACTTTAGTCTAGAGGAGTGACCTTACTGCCCCAAATGGATCGACCTCTTTCTTTCTTTCTCTCTCTCTCTCTCTCTCTCTCTCTCTCTCTCTCTCTCTCTCTCTCTCTCTCTCTCTCCAAACCGGATTGCCGCCTGCCGAGACCGCCGCACAAAGCACGAACTCTGTAGATTCGGCGAAGATCCCTCAGGGATTTCCATAAACACTGCACGCTTTAAAGAGAACAAAGCAGCCCTGAGATAAATCCATGACTACTTAGCCAAGGAGACCATAGGCTGATAGCATCTGAGTTAGTTAGTCGCCTACCCCTTATATTACGTTGCAGAACCAAACCCAGCATTTGGGAAGGGGGGGGGGCGCTGCTGTGGTTTTTCTAGGCACACTTACGTCTAGTAGTTCGCCTTTGCTTTCTGCAAAGTCAGTTCTCGGTACCACTGCCGCAACCAACGAGGACTGGCTGCTGCCAATTCACCTACAGCTGGGATCAAAGCACGTTAGCAAAACGACTAAGCCACAGATGCCGACTGATGTATAAAGGTTAGTTGCGTATCCTTTACAGGACGTTGCAGAACCAACCCCAGCAGCCCCTGGCTGTTGTGTGGTTTCTCTAGGCAAATTTACGTCCAGTAATTTGCCATTGCTTTCTGGACGATCGACCCCCTGAAACCACTGTCGAAACCAATGCAAGGCGCATGGCCCGCAGCTGGGATCGAACCCGGCACCCCGGCATAACGAAGCGTTCGCATCGACTTAGCCACAGAGCCGACTACTGCAGTGTAGTACATATTAAAAATCTATTGCGTCGCTGACCGTCAGTAGCCCGCTAGGGCGCCGTTTGAAAACATCTGAAGTAGCCCATAGTTTCAGGGGAAATAACTCGGCTCTGATCGCATCGTGATTATTTCCCCTGTTTGTATATAGTAAACACAATTACTACGCCGACTGTTCCCACTAATGATGTCCAATAAGGAGATTGGGGCGGGGGAGGGGAAAGAGGGGGGGGGGGTGTTGTACCAATGGACTCATCCTGCGTATATTTGTTGTGTCTTACATAATAATTTTTTTAATGCGGCTACGTCATAAAGTCGTAACATTATTCTACACTGTTCAAATTCTCTCTCTCCCTCTCTCTCTCTCTCTCTCTCTCTCTCTCTCTCTCTCTCTTCATCCTCCTAACTACCTTCCTGTCTGTCTGTTTGGCTATCCACATGTCTATCTGGATGTATATCGCTGCCTGCATGTCAGTCTATCTATTTATCTATCTCATTATCTGACTACATATCTCATTATCTGACTATCTATCTCATTATCTATCTATCTCATTATCTGTCTGTCTGTTTGAAAAGATCTAAAGTAGCCCATAGTTCGTGCGTGCGTGTCTGTCTGTCTGTCTGTCTGTCTGTCTGTCTGTACATTTTCTTGTTCTTAAGTTATCTTTCGTCCGATTTTACGACTTGCTTTTAGACAGATGAAAGAATTCGCCTCTTTAAGACTGAAGAGGTGTTTACGTCGAATTGCTTTTTAACCTCAATAATTTAGAGCCTCCTGCTAATGATTTGTACCCGTAATGTTTCCGATGATTTATAGAACGTTTACGTCTGAACGTTAGTCGTTAGTCGATGTTCCAACTTTACTGTAGAACTGCTCCGATTCAGGACCTGGGGAATCACACAAAATTTCCGTAACTGTTCCTGTTGTAAGACTAGGGGATTAGGCGTTGCGAACTCGCTCCGTAATGCCGTAGTGCCGGATTCGATCCCAGCTGCATGCCATTCCCATTGAGTTGGTTTCGGCAGTGGTCAGAAAGCAACGGCAAACTACTGGACGTGAATCTGCCTAGAAAAATGTTGGTGTTGTTTTTGCAACGTCCTGTAAAGCATAAGCAACATAATTTTAAAATAGATATACATCAGTCCCAGCAAAATCTTGGAGCTCGCCCACGTAATGTAATTGCATAAGCAGTTAACCATAATTGCAGCTTACTGTTAATACTAGCTGTCAGTTACGAAACCCGCCACCGCATCCGAAATAATGCACAAGTACACAACATTCAGTACGTAATCGCACACTTGCCGTTTTCAGTGCAGTTCGCAACCCAAAGCCGTCACGGGTACAAACTGAACCCAAAACTACAGTACACTCCACGCGAAATCCATAGCTCGCGGTGTCACATAAGGCAATCAACTTAGTAGCTGGGTGACGGAACACCGGGACTGCCAGCTCAGAAATGGCGAATTTGCATCAGTAAGCCGTGGCTTGAAACAAGTAACTGTATAGAGTAGAGAGCATCAGAGGTTAGCTACTCGTGTGCTACAGTGGGCCGGAAGTCGTTTACATTAAATGAAGCTATTAAAAAATATAGATCTAACGTTGCCGTCCAAAAAGTATTATAAAGCGTTTTGTTTTTATAACACGCGTAACTTTGAGAATCACGCACTGAAAGGCAATCCAGTCTGTCTGTCTGTCTGTCTGTCTGTCTGTCTGTCTGTCTGTCTGTCTGTCTGTCTGTCTGTCTGTCTGTCTGTCTGTCTGTCTGTCTGTCTGTCTGTCTGTCTGTCTGTCTGTCGGTCGGTCGGTCGGTCGGTCGGTCGGTCTGTCTGTCTGTCTGTCTGTCTGTCTGTCTGTCTGTCTGTCTCTCTTTCTCTCTCTTTCTCTCCCCTCCCCCTCTCTCTCTCTCTCTCTCTCTCTCTCTCTCTCTCTCTCTCTCTGCCTGTCCGTTCGTCTGTCCGTCTATCTCTGTCTGTCTGTCTGTCCGATCTATCTATCTCTGAGCCACCTTCTCTCCTTCTCTTTCTACAACAGCACTTTTCTGTTTCTTTCTACAAACACCCCTCTCTATCTCTCGCTGCAACCTCTCCCTCTTTCTGCCTCATTCCCTCCCTCTCTCTCTCTCTCTGCCACCCCTCCCTCTTTGCCTCTCTCTCTCTCCTTCCCTTTGCCACTCGTCATCTCTCTCTCTCTCTCCCTTTCTCTCTGACATACTCGCCCACTCTTTTTCTCTGCGCCCTCCGTTATTCCACTTCTTTTGTTACCCTTACTCATGGCCGGTTCCAGCATAAAATCTACTTCTGCCGGATGTCTCGCCCTTACCCTGTCTACTTTTTTCTCTGCAACCTTCTTACCATCTCATTCATTCTCTCTATTTTTCCTTCTGTCTTTCCTTCTCTTTCTCTCTTTCCTTCTCTTGCTCTCTATTTCCTTCTCTCTCACATCTTCCCTCCTTCCTTATCAGACGACATCTTTCTCTTTCACGTGCCCTTCCTCCTACCCTCTCAGACCAGACCACACCTGTCTATCTCTCTCTTTCTTGTACTCTCGCCCTCTCTTTCTCTTTCCCTCTAAGACCACATCTCTGTCTCACCCTCCCTTCCTCCTTTCCTCTCAGACCAAATCTCTCTATCACCCTCCCTTCATACTTCCCTCTCAGACCACATCTCTCTCTCTCTCTCTCTCTCTCTCTCTCTCTCTCTCTCTCTCTCCGCCCTTCCTCCTTCCCTCTCAGACCACATCTTTATCTCTCACGCTCCCTTCCTCCTTACCTCTCAGACAACATCTCTCTCTCCCTCTCTCTCTTTCTCTCTCTCAACCTCCCTTCCTCCTTCCCTCTCAGACCACATCTCTCTCTCTCTCTGTCTGTCTCTCTCTCTCTCAACCTCCATTCCGACTTCCCTCTCAGACCACATCTCTCTCCCTCTCTCTCTCTCTCTCAACCTCCCTTCCTCCTTCCCTCTCAGACCACATCTCTCTCCTCTCTCTCTCTCTCTCTCTCTCTCTCTCTCTCTCTCTCTCTCTCTAACCTCCCTTCCTCCTTCCCTCTCAGACAATATATCTCTCTCTCCCTCTCTCTCTTTCCCTCTCAGACCACATCTCTCTCTCACCCTCCCTTCCTCCTTCCCTCTCAGACCACATCTCTCTCTCCCCCTCTCTCTCTCTCTCAACCTCCCTTCCTCCTTCCCTCTCAGACCACATCTCTCTCCCTCTCTCTCTATCTCAACCTCCCTTCCGCCGTCCCTCTCAGACCACATCTATCTCTCTCTCTCTCTCTCTCTCTCTCTCTCTCTCTCTCTCTCTCTCTCTATCTCTATCTCTCAACCTCCCTTCCTCCGTCCCTCTCAGACCACATCTCTCTCTCTCAACCTCCCTTACTCCTTCCCTCTCAGACCTCATCTCTCTCTCAACCTCCCTCTCCTCCTTCCCTCTCAGACCACATCTCTCTCTCTCTCTCTCTCTCTCTCTCTCTCTCTCTCTCTCTCAACCTCCCTTCCTCATTCCCTCTCAGACCACATCTCTCTCTCAACCTCCCTTCCTCCATCCCTCTCAGACCACATCTCTCTCTCTCCCTCTCCCTCTCAACCTCCCTTCCTCCTTCCCTCTCAGACCACATTTCTCCATCTCCCTCTCTCTCTCAACCTCCCTTCCTCCTTCCCTCTCAGACCACATCTCTCTCTCTTTCTCTCTCTCTCAACCTCCCTTCCTCCTTCCCTCTCAGACTACATCTCTCTCTCCCTCTTTCTCTAATAATCTCCCTTCCTCCTTCCCTCACATCTCTCTTTCTCCCTCCCTCTCTCTCTCTCTCAACCTGCTTTCCTCCTTCCCTCTCAGACCACATATCTCTCTCTCTCAACCTCCCTCCCTCCTTCCCTCTCAGACCACATCTCTCTCAACCTCCCTTCCTCCTTCCCTCTCAGACCACATGTCTCTCTCAACCTCCCTTCCTCCTTCCCCCTTATACCACATCTCTCTCTCTCTCAACCTCCCTTCCTCCTTACCTCTCAGACCACATCTCTCTCTCCCTCTCTTTCTCTCTCTCTCTCTCAACTTCCCTTCCTCCTTCCCTCTCAGACCACATCTCTCTCTCTTAACCTCCCTTCCTCCTTCCCTCTCAGACCACATCTATCTCTCCCCCTCTCTATCTCTCAACCCCCCTTCCTCCTTCCCTCTCAGACCACACCTCTCTCTCTCTCTCAACCTCCCTTCCTCCTTTCCTCTCAGTCCACATCTCTCTCTCTCAATCTCCCTTCCTCCTTCCCTCTCAGTCCACATCTCTCTCTCTCTCTCTCTCTCTCTCTCTCTCTCTCTCTCAACCTCCCTTCCTACTTCCCACTCAGACCACATTTCTCTCTCCCTCTCTCTCTCTCTCTCTCTCTCTCTCTCTCTCTCTCTCTCTCTCTTTCTCTCTCACCCTCCCTTCCTCCTTCCCTCTCAGACCACATCTCTCTCTCTCACCCTCCCTTCCTCCTTCCCTCTCAGACCACATCTCTCTCTCCCCCTCTCTCTCTCTCTCTCAACCTCCCTTCCTCCTTCCCTCTCAGACCACATCTCTCTCCCTCTCTCTCTATCTCAACCTCCCTTCCTCCGTCCCTCTCAGACCACATCTCTCTCTCTCTCTCTCTCTCTCTCTCTCTCTCTATCTATCTCTATCTCTCAACCTCCCTTCCTCCGTCCCTCTCAGACCACATCTCTCTCTCTCAACCTCCCTTACTCCTTCCCTCTCAGACCTCATCTCTCTCTCAGCCTCCCTCTCCTCCTTCCCTCACAGACCACATCTCTCTCTCTCTCTCTCTCTCTCTCTCTCTCAACCTCCCTTCCTCATTCCCTCTCAGACCACATCTCTCTCTCAACCTCCCTTCCTCCATCCCTCTCAGACATCTCTCTCTCTCCCTCTCCCTCTCAACCTCCCTTCCTCCTTCCCTCTCAGACCACATTTCTCCATCTCCCTCTCTCTCTCAACCTCCCTTCCTCCTTCCCTCTCAGACATCTCTCTCTCTTTCTCTCTCTCTCAACCTCCCTTCCTCCTTCCCTCTCAGACTACATCTCTCTCTCCCTCTTTCTCTAATAATCTCCCTTCCTCCTTCCCTCACATCTCTCTTTCTCCCTCCCTCTCTCTCTCTCTCAACCTGCCTTTCTCCTTCCCTCTCAGACCACATATCTCTCTCTCTCAACCTCCCTCCCCCCTTCCCTCTCAGACCACATCTCTCTCAACCTCCCTTCCTCCTTCCCTCTCAGACCACATGTCTCTCTCCCCTCTCTCTCTCTCTCTCTCTCTCTCTCTCTCTCAACTTCCCTTCCTCCTTCCCTCTCAGACCACATCTCTCTCTCTTAACCTCCCTTCCTCCTTCCCTCTCAGACCACATCTCTCTCTTCCTCTCTCTCTCTCTCTCTCTCTCTCTCTCTCAACCTCCCTTCCTCCTTCCCTCTCAGACCACATCTATCTCTCCCCCTCTCTATCTCTCAACCTCCCTTCCTCCTTCCCTCTCAGACCACACCTCTCTCTCTCTCTCAACCTCCCTTCCTCCTTTCCTCTCAGTCCACATCTCTCTCTCTCTCAATCTCCCTTCCTCCTTCCCTCTCAGTCCACATCTCTCTCTCTCTCTCTCTCTCTCTCTCTCTCTCTCTCTCTCTCTCTCTCTCTCTCTCTCTCTCTCTCCCTCCCTCCTCCTTCTCTCGCAGACCACATAACTGTCCGTGTCTTCTGCCTTGCCCAAGCTGTGCCCTTAAAACCTCAGCTAGTGTAGCTCGATACCTCCTGTCTCTACCCCGTACTGGGGCAACCCGCAAGTTCTTTTGTTTTCCCGGTTGCCGAGACCAGAAATCGGATCATAATGGGTTTTCGACCGGTCAATTATACGCCATTGTCTGAACGTCATACTTAATGCGGCTCTAACCGATGAGCAACACAGTGAAAGTAAAACCAAGAATCCCCACCCTCAAGGGATGAATGTTTAATATGTCAAAGAACCTTTTCTGCTGGAGTAGTACAATCAGTACAACATATAGCCACATCTCTATATTAGACTAGAAGAGGGTGAATCAGTAAACTGACACATAACCGCACCTCTATATTATAGCAGAAGAGAGTGGATAAGTAAAATAACATAGCCACATCTCTATATTAGACTAGAAGAGGGTGAATCAGTAAACTGACACATAACCGCACCTCTATATTAGAGTAGAAGAGAGTGAATCAGTAAACTAACACATAGCCGCATCTCTATATTAGAGCAGAAGATGGTGAATAAGTAAAATAACATAGCCACATCTCTATATTAGACTAGAAGAGGGTGAATCAGTAAAATAACACATAGCCATATCTCTATATAAAAGTAGAAGAGGGTGATTCAGTAAATTAACTCACACAACCACCTTTTTTATTAGAGTAGAAGATGGTTAATAAGTAAAATAACACACACAGCCATGTGTCTATATTAGAGAAGAAAAGGGTGAATCAGTAAAAAACAAAACATAGCCAGCCACATCTCTATAATAGAGTAGAAGAGGGTGAATCAGTAAAATAACACACAGCCACATCTCTATATTAGAGCAAAAGAGGAAGAATCAGTAAAATAACACAGCCACATTAGAGAAGAAGAGGGTGAATCAGTAAAATAACACACATCCACATCTCTATTTAAGAGTAGAAGAGGGTGAATAAGTAAAATAACATAGCCACAGCTCTATAATAGAGTAGAAGAGGGTGAATGAGTAAAATAACACACAGCCACATCTCTACATTAGAATAGAAGAGGGTGATTCAGTAAAATAACTAACACAGCCATATTCTCTATTAGAGTAGAAGATGGTGAATCAGTAAAATAACACACACAGCCATGTCTCTATATCGGAGAAGAAAAAGGTGAATCCGTAAAATAACACACAGCCACGTCTGTATATTAGAATAGAAGAGGGTAAATCAGTAAAATAACACACACAGCCAGGTCTCTATATTAGAGTAGAAGAGGCTGAATCAGTAAAATAACCTACAGTTACGTCTCTACATTAGAACAGAAGATGGTTAGTCGGCAAAACAAATATAGTCACGTTTCTATATGGATAGAACTAATGGTGCTTGGGTCTTTTTTTTTTAATTACCTCATTCGTGTGCAGCTGCTGAAAGTGTTTTCTCTCTGCTTAACAACATTAGGATAAAGAAAGAATCGCCCTTCACTGAAGACTTCAACCAAAAATGTATTCATGGGACCGCAGTTATTGCTGCAGGATATGAACTGCAACTACAGGATGGCGACATAACAACTGTGTGACAAACTGAGCAGGGGCAGCAATTATGTAATGAACAAAGAATTTCAATTTTGATCTTACGATTATATAAGGTTAGTTAGACACACACACACACACACACACACACACATATATATATATATATATATATATATATATATATATATATATATATATATATATATATATATATATATATATAAGTGTGTGTGTGTGTGTACATAAAGTTTTAAGGTTTTTTTTTAAATAAAAGATGTGGCACTTTTTGGTGCGAAATCCAAATGAGTACAATTTCGCAAACAATTTCGGCAGCCCTCTCTGGGCTCTCTAGTAATACTGCAGCCAAAACAAACTGTATATATGACCTTCAGAAAAATAGCTTTTAAGAAGGCGAGAGGAAGACCCAGAAAGAAGTGAAGAAGCTCAAGCCTACAAAACGATGAACAAAACCATCCCTCAGATATGACAAAAGGCTATAACCTGGTAAAATTGACATGACAAAAGAAAGAAGAAGGAGACTTCAATGATTGTAAATTCCCACCATGCGTAGTAACTATTTCCGATTGGCCCTAAACCGAATGAGTTACTCTGTAACACTAACACATCCACATCACTCAACCCTCACACAGACATCAGCCCTTGGGCCCTAAGGGGAATACAGAACGATTTTCCCTACACAGCACAATCATAAACGAAATTACGCATCCAAGAAAATTAGCTCGGATTTCGGGACAACAGAGACAGAGGGGGCAAAGTTTCGTACTGACTTCGGGACAACAGATAGAGGGGGGCAGGTTCTGTGTTGACTTCCGGACGACAGAGGAGATGGGGGAAAAACGACGTTCAGGTCTGGAGACAGAAGCTTCCAATCAAGTTCCATTCTGCTTGGCTTCCTCTCTGGAGACAACTAAACTAGACTTTTCTAGAAGAACTAGCACGGACTCTCGGATTCCAGTGGTATGGTTCCCCGGGGAGTGTTGGTCCAATGATAATATTCTTATATCTGGACGTAATCAAGGACGGGGATTACCCGCAAACACACAAGTGAATTACAAAAGAACCCGAGAAAAGCCTCTATGACTACCCCAAAACAGCTATGTAAAATAAAGAACTAAATTATGACTGGTATTAAGGCGACAGTGGAGGAGCGTAGGAAAGATCCATTTTACGATTTATCCAGTTGGCACTTCAGAATTCTCTTCGTATGGCTTCTTCTTACAGCCCTTCAGTCATGATTGTGCACATTTCATGTTCCCGACCGGGTGTTTCTTAAGATCTCATAGGAGACAGGTGAATGTATGCCTTATAATAACGGCCGTAAACCAGGATTATTCAAAAATAAACAGAGGGGAAACCCTTGTGTGTGTGTGTGTGTGTGTGTGTGTGTGTGTATGTGTGTGTGTGTTATGTAAGTTTAATTGTGTGTATAATAAGTAAGCAGACGATGTATTGATCGGCATAATAGAGAGGGGTAGAGAGATAGAAGGACACACTAGAACACATAGAAATTGGAATCTATAGTTACCGTGGGGTGTCTAGTTGGTTATGTATCTTAGTACACTTATTTCCAAAGCGAGGCACACACGCCATTTGGAGATGATAGCTTCGATTCCCGGCACGACGACTATAGCTTTTGATTTATTGTTTGTCTAGTGTGTCCTTCTATCTTTCGTCTTCTTTATATAAGCATCAGTACACCAACATTGCAGGAAATCAAGTGTATGTGCTGACCAAGATATGCAGGAGTGCGAGGGAAAGAAAGAGCAGATCTACTGGCTAATAAAGCGAAAGCAAAACCTACAGGAACACTCGTACTGGATAAGGGAGCTATTCTGAAGACCATATATGAACGACTGTTGACAGAAGATGCGAGATTAGATGCAATAACATGTGCCAGAATGTGTGAACGGGGAGTTAAGTGTGTATAATCAGTGTGCTGCGGGAACAGTGAGCTTCTACACCATAAGACATTCGCTGCGCAACATGGAGCATCTATGGGTATGCCCGATGTGTTTTGATGTCGATTCTTAAATCAGTCATCAGTAAACTGACAATGATCCACGAGCTACTTGACAGATTCGGTCCGAGGGGCAGCCAGTTGGATAGCCCTGTGTTGTTGACTTTCCTACTGAAGACAGTCTCATTTAAGTAAAGTAAACACGGTTACTCCACAACTACCTGACCTATGTTTGAGTTTAAATCCGTAGTCGGATGGACAGACATAGAGGTAATAGTGACAACTAAAATTTCCTGCCAGTAGGGTCTAA